TAGTAAAAGAAACAAAAACAAAATGATTCACCTCAAATGCTGAAGCTCCCTGGAACCTGGCGACAGAAAGAAATCGTCAATGGCGGCTGGCAGAAAGAAATCGTCAATGGCTGTAGCTGGAAGTGGCGAACGGTCGAATGGATCGAGTTTGGAGAGGAAACTGTGGAGTTCGAGTCTTGTGCAACACTGGCTTCTCTGGTTTAATTGGGGATTTTAAATCATTTTCATGGGCTAGAGCGGGAATTGGGTTTAATTAGGTTTAGTTTTATGTGGGAATTGGGTTGAGTTGGACTTGGACGGTGGCCTATTGGGCTGGAAAGTGAAAAAATTAGACTTTGATAAAAAAAAAATTTATAGGACCTGGGCTTGGGCAAGGGTGGGCTACAGCCCACCCCTATCTCCGCCCATGGCAGCCAATTCATTGTTCAAAAATATACCCAATATCGATCACAAGCCCGTATCAATTGCCACCCTTTTTATCTCTCAAAGAACGTGCTCGTGATATTGATGGTGCTGATGCCATGACAGAAGACAATAAGCTTGATGGCATAATGCAAGAAGCTGCCTCTTTCAAGCTCGGGCACAGAAGGAAGAGGCTGCTAGTCCATACGTGCTGCTGGTGAAAGGCTATTGACGTATTGATACTTTAGTTGAGCTGATTGGGACAGCAGTTTATACAGACCAAGCAGAAGCTTACAAGAAGCGGTTGAAACCACTACCTGGATTGAATGCAATTGATGTTGAGAGTGGTCCTACCGTGAGACACCTTGAAGCATATATGAGGTGAAGAGTAAAGAGAGAACAAAGAAGAGAAGATCCTGAGAAGTTTCCAGTTACAGACTGAAGAAAAAGGATAGGAGAGAAGATCCTGAGAGTGGAGGTTCTCAAGGTACTGCTATTCAAGAGACTGGCGAGAATGGCAGAGGTCGAGAGGAGGTGGAGATAGTTGTGGACGGTAAAACTTCTGTAGTAATGACCCGGATGAAGAAGATATACACAAAAAACAAATTAAAGGAATTATGGGAACCTGTGTTCAATGAATACGGTTATTCTCATTGAATTTCATCAAGCCACATGATATAACTCTTTTCCTGTTTGTGTTAACATCTCATGAAGGTAAAAAAAGGGAGAGTAAAGATTCTAACAAAGACTATATATGAAAAAATTATCATGAAGGATATAACATAAAATCTGTCATCATAAATTTTAAACCTCTTCAATGACAAAGGTTGCAAAAAGAGAAAAAATAACCCTTCAAAGGGAAACAATGTTTGGGATCAAAACTCCCTAAATTAAATTATTGGGAAGAGTGAAATTTTGCGTTTGACAAATCCTCGAACTAAACAACAAAAAGATTTTCATCACCATCTATTGCTAAAGAAAAAAGGAACTGGGTGTTACTAAGCCCCACCAGAGCCATATTTCTTTCCGAAAACAAGCACCTGAAGTTTGTCATACCCGGCAAGCACACCAGCACCAGCAACAGCACGAAGAATGTTGGCACCAGCACCCTTGAACAATGATTTTGCACCCTCATTCTTCAGGATTTGAGCAAATGCATCCATAGAGCTCTTGTACTTCACAGCTTCACCAGATGTCATCATCATTCTTCTGCGAACTGTGTCAATTGGGTAGGAGGCAAGTCCAGCACCATTTGTGATAAGCCAACCAAGAGCAAAGCTAGCAAAGAAACTATCCTGTAATATGGTGACAATACAGTATCAAGAATGAGAACAATTCAATGAACCAAACAAGTCAAGTCACCATAGTAAATTCCCAAACTGAAATATGTTCATTCAATGCTAATAATAGAAGCACATAGCAATGCAATAAGTAATCAATCCATTCGTGTAACTTCACCATGTAAAGATGTTTGGAGTCCAACTACGAAACAATAACTGGAAAAAGACACATAATTCTCACAGATTTATAACTAACCTGCAATGATCCAGTCAGGAGCACTGGCTTCAAAGAGTCGTACATTCCAAAGTACAAACCACGGTACACAATAATACCAACACATGAGATGTTGAATCCACGGTAAAGACCAGCAATACCATCAGATTTGAGGGTTTTCCTGTAGACATCAACTAAACCATTGAACTGCCTCTCACCACCCTTCTTGGCAGCCTTGGCATCATTTGCAAGACGGGTACGAGCATAGTCCAGGGAGTACACAAAGAGCAGGGATGAAGCACCAGCAGCACCACCTGATGCAAGGTTGCCAGCAAACCATTTCCAGTAGCCATCACGGTCCTTCTTGAAGTTGAAGAGTCTCTTAAAATAGTCCTTAAATGCAAAGTTCAAAGCCTACGGAACATGCAATAACAGAAGTCAAAACATAAATAACATGAGACAAGTGGAAATTCTTTGCACCATGAAAACATGGTAAATAGATTTTATAATAAAAATCGCATGGTCAACCTGAGTGGGGAAGTAACGGATGACATTAGCAGTGTTTCCTCTCCACAAAGATCCAAAACCTTCCTCCTGAATTGTTCTCTTGAAACATTCTCCAATTCCTTTGTAAGGTTCAGAGAGTCTGCCAGCCTTGATCATTTCATCTTGGTTTTGGATCAAAAGTTTCACACGCTCAATAGGGGCAGCAGCAGTTTTTGACACAGCTGCTGAAACTCCACCCATTAGAAAGTCAATACCAAAGCTGGCCAAGCCTTTCTCAGCAGGAGCTTGGACAAACACTGGTGAAGCATTTGCAGAAACCAGAGATAAATCCTGGGTGGCTCTGCAAGACATAGGATACTGCAATCCTGCATTTGTGTAATTTCCATATGCCAATCGCCTTTGATACACAGCAGGGCTTTGGTAGCCACCATAGCGAGGTTGTTCTTGAGAGATACTTGAACTCAGATGTAGCTGGTTGGCTACCTGCTTAACAATAGTTGAATGCCGGTATTGATCTGCCATTACGACTGACTAAAAAAACTCCTGCAGATTCACAATAAATGGTGGTCAGTTCATACTAGAAAAAAATAAACCATGATCAGACTGTAGAGGAATGCCAACACCACAACCTATTGCTGGCAATATTTTTAACTAGTTTGACAAGGATCATCTAACAAAAATCTCGAGACGTCTTCAACTCGCACAAGAGAATCATTCAGTTGCAAGTTGAATATCACTTTTAACCTCAATTGTTTACTAAATCAGGAAAAAATTTAAATTATCTTTGCATAATGCACAAAAGAATTGCCCAATTAGGGACTCAAATGCAACAAAAATTCTAGCATTAGAACCAGAAAGCATTGTGATCAAGCAAAACAGCTATAATTGCATAATCAAGGGCATTGACAATGAAATATAATTTTCAATAGTGAGCGATACTTAGTGCCAAAAGACCAAGTTCAGTCAGTCAAACAATGATGATCACACTGAGTCTTGGTTATATGATCGTAGATCTTCCCATCGCTTATGCTTCTTATAGATGAATGACCAAATATATCTAAAAATTACTATATATCCCGGAACTGCAATAATATTGAGGATACAAAGACTAAAAAGTAGATCGTGTAGTGCATGATAGAACTTGCACAATAGAAAGGGAAGTAGCCTCTATAAACCGCAAAATTATCAATCAGCAAAGGGAAATCAATATCTATGTGCAAAAAAATTCCAAAATACAGGCAAACACGTGATTTCGACCAGATCTGCAATATACAGAACATTATAGTTTGGAAATGAACGGTACTACCAAAATTCCAAATTCCAAATCCAAAAATACGAGAAATAAAACAAAATAAGCCATATAGCAGAACGTGTAGATACTCAAACACAAGTGTAAACGTCAGATCTACAAAAAATTTGAAAGTAGTCAAGTGCATTCAGATCTACAAACATGTAAAAGAAAACAAACCTTAAAAATGAGAACTTTTTTATATTTCATTCACAGATCTAAAAGCATAAGATGCTCAATGAACAAATACATATATAAAAGAATCGCAGTACCCAATAAGAGGAATCAAACGGATTGAAATTGAAACAGAAAGGAACGGTTATAAAACAACCGAAATTCAATCTGAAGCCACGGGGCTGAATAATTGGATTGAGCGGTGAAATTACCTGCGTTCGAATGGCCTCGGAAATCGGGAAGCGAGGAGAGAAGAACGAGGAGAAATGTACTGGTGCAGAGGCTTTGGACGAGAGGCCAATTGCGGAGGCTGGACACAACTATATATAGTTGCTCGCCATAACCTAGCTGTACATATTTTACCTAGTGGGTTGGAGGGCACATATAGCGATGCGAATGTGGACGTCATTAGGGCTCATGTCCATTAGTGGTGTCCAAAGAGTCGAGTCAATTTGAGATTAGCTTCTCGTATTGCATTTGGATTAATCGATATGTACATTTTATTTTACATTATAATCGACATTTTCTCCTATATGGCAAAATCTGGACGGTGATGTGAAAAAGTGTTAGAAAAATCAAAGGAGATGATGATGTCATGAGGAAGAATTTCAACAAAAATGTAAATATTGATATACATGTAGTATTATTGATTTCGTTTTGGGTAATAAACACAAGATGTCACTATTATTTTCTTTCATCATGCAAATTATTTTGATTTTAATTTTGACATTTGATACTTCGTATTGACCTATCTTTGTGTGGAACGTACTTACCATTCATTTGCTCCGTTAAAAACTTGCAAAGTGAAGAATTTATGGATATATTTAAAAAAACAAAAATAAAAGAAAAGCTGCAATCTTAATCTCAAATCTTTTCAATGAGTGAAAACGAATCTCATCTAAAACAATAAATTATATCTCATAATTAATAAATTCAAAGTACTTTAAAGTTGCTGAGTAGTTAATTTTTTTTTGTTGATCATCAACTTCTTATAGAGAACCGTCCTACGTCGTGCGTCTATCCAATGAGAAGTCGTCACTTCATCGAATACCCAGTCTCACCCAATGAGGTGGGCCACCTCGAGAATTGAGGTGGAAAGAGAGAGACACTCAAGCCCGAGGTGGCCTCATCTCATTGGGTGTGGCTGGGCCATTTGATGAAGTGATGACTCCTCATTTGAAAGTCGTACCACATATGAAGATACAGCTGTCATACTCAAGTATCTCTCATTTTTATAACAACTCTTCTTGAAAAAGTTATATAAGTAAAAGCTCTATTGATAAAAATTCTACCCTGCGGTTTTGTTGTTCTTTCTATTTCAATCAGGGACCGTTAAAAAAGGTCAATTGTTGAAAAATCTTAGAGGGACAATGTGAAAGAAATAAAGAGGATTTTGGGCGGTTGTGATGTTTTTCTATTTGAAAAGGCGTGGAAATGAAAGGTCAGTTCTTCCCATTCAAATTGGAATGCAAATAGAGCCTTCTATTTGTTGGTCAAAGTTTGACAAGTAAACGTGTCTTTTGGGAGATGCATAATGCATTTCTCAAGCCCTTTTCCCATTTGTTTTTTCCATATAAATCTGCGGCGTGTGCGTTGAGAGTGGGAGAGGGCATTAGAAAAAGAAAAAGTAACCTTGAACGCGTGGTGTGTGATGAGTGGACAACCTATTAAGGATATGTTTGGACCGGATTAAAATCTGATTTTAATTTAAATTAAAGTCAAACAATTAATATTAATTAAATCTTTCATGGGTCCCACATCTTTTCAACCACACATTTCAAAAATTTTCATCACAATCTACTAAAAATCTAATTTTAATCCCCACCAAACACCCTCTAAATTATAAGTAACTTGTAAAGAAGAAACCTCGAGGAATTTAGGTACTGGTGGGGGACAAGTATCGGGTTCGATTTAATTCCAAAAATTACATAGAATCAAATGGTTTCATTCACAAAAATCCTCAACAGTTTAATAGACGATTTTGAATCTTGAAATACTCGGATTGGATCACCAAATGCTAGGTGTGGCAGAACTTGAACTTTGGCTTGTGTTCACGGGCAAAGCTCGAATAATGGACGATTTATATACATCGCGAGAAGATAGCATGCTTATGTCATTCAAAATATTTCTGTTGCAAGTGGATCACAAATCCGAAAGAGGAAAAATAAAATTTTAATTTCTTTTTATAATTGTCTAATTTGTTTTTAAGTTGTTAAAATACTCAGAATCAATTGTTTTGATTTGATTTAAAATAAAATAAAATAGTTAACCAGTCAATTGACTAAAATAAAATAAAATTCAAATCATCCAACGATTTTTTCTATTCATCCTGACAATTGACTTTTCCGCATGCACGGCCAATAGTAAAAAATGATTAAAAACCTATTGCCTAATTAAGCTAAGGGTTTTTTCATAATAGATTTTGTAAAATGCGACTTTTTAAAGATTGTGTGTGTAAAAAGAAAAATGAATTTATGTAAAAATGAAAATTTCATGATTAGAATATAATTTTAAAATTAACAAAGTTGTAAAAATTTTCAAATTATCAGGTGATATATGATTATGACATGTTATGTTAATAACTGTGATCTATAAATTGTATGATCGTGACTTAGTATGATTTTTGATGTGAACATAATCCATGACATGTTATCCGTAGTTTGTGAACACTTGATTTTAGAAGAAAGTTAATATGATTAATGAAATTATAATTTAAAGAACGTGGTTTTAGGTAAAAAAAAAAAGTGGAAATTAGGGATCAACAGATTTGGATATCTCAATTCATAAATCATATATCATGTTTACTAATTCAACAATTAGAGTTTTTAAATTAATTAATATATGCAAAATAAATATTTTTACTAAACATAAAAATTTAAAAATTAATTAATTCACCATACACAATTTCAATTCCAAACCCTAATTATCTCTCTCCCTTCACTCTCTCTAAACCTCTTACCTCTCCATNCTCTAAACCGCCTACCTCTCTATTTTCTCTTCTCTCACCCTCTTTCTAACTTCTTATCGGTAATGAGGGTTGCACACTATGATTGGTGCAGCTGAACATGTCGATAAACCCAAACAGCAACGCAGCATAGGCTGGTCATGCATGAGGCGACATCGTTGTGCGCGACATTGTACATAGTGAAGCGTCGATCTCCATTTTCCCCATCAGCACTGTAGATCAGGGGCCTTTTCTCCATTTTTTTTCTCTACTCACAAATGGTTGTGCTTATGGTGTTGGTTGTGGCCGTTGGTTGTTAGGTGGTGTTTGGTTGGGTGGTTGTGGTTATGTGAGATTTTAATACCTTTTTCGATGTGTGTGAGAGCTACTGCACCTTGATCGTGAGTCGGATTGGCATGAGATGCAATTGTCTTCTCCTCCGCTTCCTCCGGAAATAGGATTGGGGCTTCATCATGCCCCACCATTGGGATCGAAGAATTCACCGACGTTCCCTCCATTTCCGTTTCAGAAAAGAGTTCTGATAAGACCCGCAGTTCAAATGCATCCTCCGTCCACGAGGACGAACTTGCTGGGCCGGAAGGGGCCGGAAGAGGAGGTACCGGCCGAGAGGGTCCCGGGGAGGAAGGGACGTGGTTGGAAGGGCTCTCGGGAATCTCGAAGATTTCCACCGGACCACCCGGGCTCGGGGCTTTATAGATGATGATACCAGTTTCGGTCGACGAGGTGGCCTTTGTGAGATCCGACACGCTTAGTGGCGCTTGGTTGACTCGCCCCTCCGAGCTTGATGCGCCTGATGGAACCATTGTCCCCAGCCCCAGCCCTCGCTTCACCACTTCCAAGACTGAAAATCCAATGATAGAAGAATCAACTGCTGCTCCTACGCTTACTCCAATCAAAAGGAGTGAACATGAGCCTGACTTCGAAGACTCCCGNAGTACTATTATGAGTACCTAGAGGGAAGAATTCATGAAGGAAGAGCCAATCATATCTTTGGGGTGGGTCTTCCCTCTTCAGTATCTCAAGAAATAGAACTTTCCTATCTGGATGGCGGTCTATCTATATTTCTGATTTAACCATGGCATCTTAGGCTAGTTCAGTGTAGTATAGCTCTAAAACAACTCGTCCTTGTCCGTAGTAAAAAGGGACAGTAACTAACCATACTAGTCTTTCATAGACAAAATCCATCTCCTGGAATAGAAAAACATTTTTGGCTTTGCTATAACCGCATATCCGTGATCAGTACGGATGACTACTCTAGTAAGGTACCCTCGGCTGCCTATACCGATCGAGAAAGTGAAGACATCAATATTAATCAACTTGAAATCATCTTCAAGGACTTCTTTAAAATCTGGGTAAGGCAATTGCCACAGTTTCAGAATAGGTTGATGGACAAGAAGAATTTATTGCCTCCACTTCAATATATTACAAGGAAGCTAGTCACTAGTTCAAATAGGCATTCCCCAACTGGCAATCATATGTTGAGTAGGAGCTCGTTCATCAACCTTTGAACGGAAAGACCAAAAAAGTTCAAAAACTGTACAAGAGCGAGCCAAAAACCTCTCTACCTAATCCCTTAAACAGATAGGCACAACAGTTGGTATTGCCTTATTCCTACACATATACGATTTGATTGCTTCAAGGCTTCACACCTTTCTAGTGCTACGAAGTTCTATTATTACTATCCTATGACAACCCCTCACATGGAAGCAACCAAAAAGAATAATGAAAGCAAAAGAGTCTATTGTTTAAACTTAAACAAGGGAATAGCATGGATCTGCTCCTCTTGACTAAAAAGTAGATGTCGCTCTTGCATGGACGGATAGCGTTGGGAAGGAAGAAACCTACACCTTGAACAAAAGGAGATCGATGAAGTTAGCCTATCTTCGGTCTCTTTTCCCTTTCGTCTGCTATTCCCACGCCATCATGTCTATACTTTTATGTTTGCCTGGAAGGAATTGGCAGATAGCAAAAAAGAAGGATTGATAATCAAAGAATAGAAATAAGGCGCATCTCTAGCCAAAGATCGGCATTCCAGCTCTTCCATACTCACTCTTATCGGTGCTTTCTCTTGATATAGATATTTCTATTATAGGATGAATTTCATTATGCTTTCACCCTCAACCATTAACGGGGAACTTCATCAGTTGCCTTAAAACAACGTCAAAGTTAAGTGGTAAGAATCTTTCTTTCCTATCTGTTAGCAGTTGAGGACGAAAATATCGATAAAAATGCGAAAATGAAAAATTTTGATGTTACAAGGTAAAGATGACTGTAGAAGAAAAAAAAGGGGAAAATCAAACAAATGACCAAGGAGCAAATAGATAGAGTAGATACCGAATCTCATTCCTTATGATTTGGATTGTTCATTCTAGTCTTTAGTAAGTCAAGGCATTCGGGAAACAAGAGAGTAAGCAAAGTTCTCTATGAAGTTAGACTATTGCTTTGACTTTTAGCTGCCACTGTTTCATCGCATCGGATGTTGCCCTTGAATTTATTTATGTAACCGCATCGGAGGATGTAATAGCAAAGTCTGCCATCGTTCCTTAGGAGGTCTCCTTCCCACTTTTGGACCTATAGATTGGTACCACACGAGACCGAACCCGCAGCCTGAGGTACCCATATGCAACAAAGACTTTGAATCAAATACTTATTCTAACATCTTTCTTCAAAAGAGTTTGAGTAATAACTTCAACAAAGCTCCGTTCCTTCACTGAAGTCTTTGTCTAGAACTAACTCGAAAAGTGAGCCCAATCTGACTCAATCGTCTTCCACTTAGGAAGAAGTGCCCCCCAAAGCACTCTATTTATCTGGTGATGAAGAATCTCCCGATGCTCTTTCATTCTCTTCAGTTGTCTTCCTTCTTTCCTTGTGGACGAATACCAATAGAACTGTGGATACCTCAGCTTTGGGAAAGACCTCCATTTTGGTCTTCCTAGAAAGTGAGGAGGCGCCAGCCACTGGTCTGGACTTTCTTTCAATTGAAAATCACACAATCTTTTCAAGAAAGCCTCTGTAAACTCGATAAAAAGAGCAAACAAGCTTCATGTTCTCCTGTTCGGAGAATACTAAAACAGCGCATATTGAGACAATAGCTTATTCTATCAAAGAACTTATTATCGGCATCAATGCACTAACTCCTAGCAAGATCTTATTAGAAATAGCCAATTAGAAAAGTGGCTTAAAAGTTCCTTATCCCTTTGTTGATGAATCGCATCTCTCCCTTCCTTTTTTCTCTCCAAAACAAAGTCTTCGAAGTTGGTTGCGGGAGTCACTTAGCTCGCCTTCGGGTTAGTTAATAGTTATTGCTTCCTCATTTGCTACCTTGCTAGTTCTAAGAAGTAAAGTTCTATGGTTACTGTCCTAGGTGGGAGAGGTTGGATAACCGATGCCCCGGTAATTAGTGTAGCACCTAGTTGAGGCTTGGTTTGGTCTTCCTAGAAAGTGAGGAGGCACCAGCCACTGGTCTGGACTTTCTTTCAATTGAAAATCATACAATCTTTTCAAGAAAGCCTCTGTAAACTCAATAAAAAGAGCAAACAAGCTTCATGTTCTCCTGTTCGGAGAATACTAAAACAGCGTATATTGAGACAATAGCTTATTCTATCAAAGAACTTATTATCGGCATCAATGCACTAACTCCTAGCAAGATCCGATTAGAAATAGCCAATTAGAAAAGTGGCTTAAAAGTTCCTTATCCCTTTGTTGATGAATCGCATCTCCCCCTTCCTTTTTTCTCTCCAAAACAAAGTCTTCGAAGTTGGTTGCGGGAGTCACTTAGCTCGCCTTCGGGTTCGTTAATAGTTATTGCTTCCTCATTTGCTACCTTGCTAGTTCTAAGAAGCAAAGTTCTATGGTTACTATCCTAGGTGGGAGAGGTTGGATAACCGATGCCCTGGTAATTGGTGTAGCACCTAGTTGAGGCTTGGTTGTTTGGACTACCAAACTAGATGGTAGCGTGATCGAAGCCCAGATTGCATGATTATTCGAACGAGGTACCGTGAATTGGATAGGACCGTTCAACCATCTATGTTTTCCATCTGATGTCCGCTTTGGTGAGAAGCATGGCTTGACAAGGTTGTGTGGCATTCAACTCAAGGAATTATGTATGTGAACACGAGCGAAGATTTAGCCTTGTACGGAGGGGGCTATTATCCCAGGTTAGTCTGCTCCGGAGGAACTGTCCGATACAACAGATGCATCCCCAGTTGAAGACGCAGAAAGAGATACCGATTCTCCATTGGCGAAATCCAACTGAATCAAATAATAAGGAATATAGAACAGAAGCACCCCAATCCCCATACGAATCGGTGGAGATTTCGATGGGCACCGGTGGTGAAGTGGTGGTAATGGCGAGTAGTATTCCGACGAGATCAAGGACATAGTAGATTGTTGGGTCGCGAAAGAGCTCTTTTTTGGGGATCAACGAATCGAGAACTTGTAGATTCGGTATTCAATTTTTCGATCTCGTTTTACCAAGGCTATGACGTAGTGGTGGGGGGTTGTGTTATCCAATGGTTGTGGATTGAGGTATGGTCGGTGGTGACGATGGTGCAATGCAGGTGGAGGTGGTGTTTGTGGTACCGGTTTGTTTGTGGTGTAAGCGGTGGTGATAGTTATGCATTGTATGTGGTGAAGGCAATAGTGCATTATAGGTTATGGTGGTGGCAGTGATGGTGTGGCGACAACTGTTGTGGCGGTGGAGTTGGGACGATATGATAATTATTTTTATGTTGTGACCAATAAACTGTTAATTTGTGATCAATAAATAATATGCGATCTAAAAATTTGTTTAAGTTATAATCAATAAGTTGATAATTTGTTACTTATAAATAATTTGTGAGCAATTAATTTTTTATTTTGTGATTATAAAATAAGTTATGATTTATAAAATTTGTAATTTGTGAGCAATAAATAAATTATAATCTATGATTTTTTTAATTTGTAACCTATGAATAAATTATGACTTACGAAATTTTTGAATTGTGACCGTGAAATTGTTCGTCACCTATAAAATTTTTGATTCGTTACTGAGAAATAATTTTTGACCAATTAATTAGATAATTTGTGACCAAATAGTATATAATTGTGTCCTTAATATATTTAATTAGTTATTTCATAAATAAAATTTAATTAATATCTAATTTTTGAAATTTTAAACTTTATTTTTTAGTTTTGAAATGAATCGTACTTAATTTCTTAGATATGAAAATTTTCTTTTATTATTATTATTATTTTATTGAAAATATGTAAGGTTGAAGAATGAATATAAATTTAGTGGAAATTACATGAAACCAAGCATTTTTTTTAGTATTTTAAAAAGTCAGGTTTTCACCTTTTTTTTTTCATTTCTCAGGTTTTTATCATTTTAATTAAATAATTAATTTTTTAATTAAAT